TTTCTTTCTTTCTTTCTTTCTTTCTTTCTTTCTTTCTTTCTTTCTTTCTTTCTTTCTTTCTTTCTTTCTTTCTTTCTTTCTTTCTTTCTTTCTTTTTTAAGATGCCTAAAAGGCTACCTTCAAAGGCAAGGCTTTCAATTAATGATATATGATGTTTGATCTGCTCTTCAGACTTTCAAGAATTAAACAATATTTCACATAGAAATAAACCTTATGTACAAAATGAATATTTAGTTTTAAAATGTCACAGATGGGTAAAAGTACCTCCTCTCTAACCACTTCTCTGAATGTACTTCCACTATTCTTCAATTGAAATATGAATACAATTGGACTTTCCTCTTGGGGCTAGCTTTCAAGTAGGATGCTCAGATCTCAGCCTTTTGAGTAGCAAAGATTATACAACTGAGTCACTCGCACCTGGCTATAATTGTAATTTATAGTATTCAGAGTTGACCAACATGCACAACAAAAAGTAAGAACAGAAGCAAGAATAGGGCAATGAAACAAACCATTGGTTTCATTTATATTCTCAGATCCCTGAATTCTTTTCTCTTAAAAATTGTTGTTAGGTCAGGCACCGGTGGCTCACTCTACTCAGGAGGCTAAGATGTAAGGATCACAGATCAAAGCCAAGCTGGGCAGGAAAGTCTGTGAGACTCTTATCTCCAATTAATCTCCAAAAAGCTTAAGGTGAGCTGTAGTTTAAGTGATAGAGCACTAGCCTTGAGCAAAATAGTTCAGGGACAATACCTAGGCCCTGAGTTCAAGCCCCTGGACTCACACACACACACACACACACACACACACACACAGGTGCACACACACTTGCCTGCATGAAAAGTATAAACAGTACTCAGGCCCTGAGTTCAAGCCCCACTACTGAAACACACAGACACACAGACACACACACACGTATATGGACATATTCACACACAAATACTTTTCTGTGTGTTTGTGTGCCAATTTGGGGGCTTGAGCTCTGGGCTTAAGAGATGTCTCTTAGTCTTCTTCCTCAAGGCTAACACTCTACCACTTGGGCCACAGCTCTACTTCTGGCTTTTTGGTAGATAACTGGAGACAAGAGTTAGGAGTCTGCCCAGGCTGGTTTTGAAACTCCATCCTCAAGATCTCAGCCTCCTGAATAATTAAGATTACAGGTAGGAGCCACTGGTGCCAGGCCACAGACATACTTTTAAATGTAACTTATTTGTGATGTATATTTGTAGTTTCATTTGAGACTAGTCAAATTTTGTTTTCAAATTTGCCACTGCCCTCTAAACTTGGGTTGATTTATATGATTTAATACCTGATTTCTATAGGATATGGTACCTCCAAGTCTTACATTCAGTTCACAGGGGATTTAGAAAATGTTGATTCATTCTAGGTCAAGATTTCAAGTAAGTATAAAACATGGGGCATGCATATAATCTGCTTTTTTGCACATGATACCAAGATTACAGTTGCTTAATAAATGTTCAATATGTATTTGGGGCATATGCATGTATATGTGTGTGAATATGCATTTATTTGCTGAGGATAAGAGAACCAGGGGCTGGCTTAAATAAGAAGTAAAAATGACTAAAAAGATAAGATTATATCTATAATATACCAATAATTTAAAATCCATACCATTTCATTCTTCAGCAAAGCTAATCCAATTTGGTCTGTGTGAACTTTCCTTCCCTTTCCAAATCTCTGTGGTCCATAGTAATTCACAAAGCCTTTACTCTATGAACAGAAAATAATTAAGAAGTCATTAGTAAGAATTAAATAAGTTAAGAGTTTATCTAAATGGTATCAAAAATGTGATTGGGGTTGAAGGCATGGCTCAGGTGGTACAGCACCAGTCAAAAAGCAAAAACATCAGATAATGAATTGGAGTTCTGGTTTTAGATTTAAAAAAAGGAAAAAGCATCAAATATTTCTCTTCATATTTACTACAAAAATTCTTGTAATCAGTCACTTGTACAGAGACTAAATAGTCTGAGAAATACTATATAAACAGGAAAGAACACACAATTAGAAGTTAGCATGTAATTATGCCCATAACCCTAGCTATTCAGGAGGCCAAGATCTGAGGATCAACAGTTGAAAGCCAGCAAGGTAGAAAAGTCCATGAGATTCTTCATATGTAGAAGCTAGATCTAAAATATAACTAGACGTGATAACCTATCCAGGATTCTAGACATTCATACACAGACCGAAGAAGGATATACTTGGGGAGAAATCCAAAGATGTAACTTCTCTACATTTAAAGTACTATCTATTGAAATGAACTCCAGGAAATAGAAACAGGACCTTTTACTGGTTTTGTTTAAAAAAAAAAGTCTACAAGATTCTTACCTCCAACTAACCAGGAAATAGGCTAAAAGTGGAGGTGTAGCTCAAGGGATATCACCATGTTCTGAGTTCAACACAGACACACAGACACACACAGACACACACACACACACAGAGTTAGCACATAAAACTATTGAAGAAAGCTTCAAAAACATGTCAAATTTCTATTCACATTACTGAGAAGGTTCCTGGGATATTCCAGACAAGTTGTAAACACAGTAAGATTGAGTGGTCTCCCAGTACCTGGATTTGATCTCTGCTCTAAAGTGCTTTCTCATTTTGAGACTCTTCTGCCATCAGGAAATGTGAGGAAAAGAAACAGCCTTCTTTTCCAACTCACTAAAAAATCCTGGCTTCTTTATAAATTCACATATTCTTCAGTCTCTCTCGGTTCTTACAGCCTACACGAAGCTGCAACAGAACTTGCGTGCCAGGGCAGCAACTCAGAGTTTGCCTCTTGATAGAAGTGAATTTTGATGCAAGTATACTTTTTGATACAAGTGATATAAGAGAATTCTAAGGTCATGCTTTTAAAACTGCTCTATTTCTCATACAGAGGAGAAAACAAGCTTACTATTGCAACCTTTAAAGAGACTCATGGAAGACAATCTTCTACATGCACATTATGAGAAATGTACACATATCTTTACACAATCATTACTAAACCCCGACCCAAGGACTACTAAATAAAATATGCTAAGTGGGTCACAATACAGAACAAAGGGAACTGTATCTTTACAGAAAAATTAGATTTTTGCAGATAGATAAAACACTTTAATTAATTAATTAATTCTCCCACGTATTTTGAGTTATTTCAAATTTAAGATAAAATGTCAGATAGAATAACTAGACTTTTATCTATCCCTCCAAACTATTTACATATACCAAACGATTCACAACTATTAATGCTAAAGAAAACTCAAAAGACATCTCATTTTCAAAGCTACTGGGCTCCCTTCCCTCATCATGGGAATTGAACTAGCTAAAGATTTTTTTTTTCATTTTTGGTGGAGTATTGGGGTTTAAATTCAGGGCCTCTCATTTGTTAGGCAGGCCTACTATCATGTAAGTCACACCCCAGCCCTAAGGCAAAGATTATCTAAGAACTTTTTTAACTATTAAGTAGTAGAACAAGGAGTTTTAACTCAACATGTCTCTGTGTGTGTGTGTGTGTGTGTGTGTGTGTGTGTGTATGAGTATGTATGCGTGTTTGTGCCAGTCCTGGGACCCATCCCTGAGTTTTTTTTGCTCAAGGCTAGCACTCTATCACTTGAGCCACAGCTTCATTTCTGGGTTTTTTGGTATTGGAGGTAAGTCTCACAGCCTTTCCTTCCTGGGCTGACTTCAAACCACAATCCTCAGATCTGAGCATCCTGAGTAGCTAGGATTGCAGGCGTGAGCCACCAGTTCCCAGCAACATAACGACTTTTATAAGTACAATGCATCATAATCGGTGTGTCACCCCTTTTCAGCATTTTCCTCCACATCTCCCAGCCCCACCTCAGCTTACCTAGTTCCATGTTCACATACGTACAGTGAATATTATGACCAAATAAGCTAAGATCATTTATAATGAGAATTTCATAATAGGCAGGTGTAGCCTCATAAATATCGATACAAAACTGCTAACGAATGTTATCCAAATTCAGAGAAACACACTCCATCTTCAAAGAGATATTATTTTCAGAACCATTTCACAAGAGTGGAGGGTGTAAAATTTTTAGATAGATGAGTCATGAAAGAAAGATAAAAGTGTATACAGAGCATATGATTTCAGGCATTGAAATATACATAGGTTAAAATGCTGAATTTAAAAGGTCTTTAGCTGGAAGACAGTTCTTTAACTGTAAGCCACGAAAATGCCCAGCTTTCTTGGTTTTCCTATTAGAGAGGTATAAAATTGGGTAAAAAAGATGGTGTGGTCGGGAACTTGGCTCCGATCCTCTCCACGCTGGCTCCAGGGCAGAATCACTTAGCAAGCTATTTAAAAATAGCCATGCCAAAGCCACAGCCTCAAACGTTCTTTATTGATTTTGAAGGAGAAATTGACTGCCGACATTTTTTAATAGCTCCTCAGGTTGAGAATTACTAGTCTGCATCCGGGGTTGGCAAATGACTCCAGCCCACCAAGTCCTATTTGGCTCAACACTCATTTCTGCAAATAAACTTTTACTGGAACACAGCCCTGCTCATTTATCTGTGTATTGTCTACAGCCATTTTGACACAATGGCAGTTGATTCATTCCAACATAAACCATATGCCAGCAAAACCAAAAATATTTATTATTGGCCCCTTGTAGAAAATCTTGCTGACCCTCTAGTTGAGATGACAGACTGGGACTATGATTATATAAATACACTTGAATGCTTGGCAGATGTCACTTATAAACCTAAGTCATCTTTGTGTGTGTGTGTGTGTGTGTGTGTGTGTGTGTGTGTGTGTGCCAGTACTGAGGCTTGAACTCAAGACCTGGGTATGAGCCCTAGCCCTGAGTTTTTTCAAAGGCTGGCACTATATCATCTTGAACCACAGCTTCATTTCTGGCTTTGTGTGGTTCATTGGAGATAAAAGTTGAATCTCTGAATCTCAGCCTGCTGAGTAGCTGGGATGATTAGGCATGAGCCACATGTATGTTTGGTCTTAATACAAAAGCATGTTAAGAAAAAAAAAACAGAAAATGTCAAATGGCCCTCCTTATATTATTATTATTATTATTATACATGCAGATAAAAAGATACAAAAGGAAAAATATTTCCTTTCTTTCCACAATGCAGAGAGGGACTATAAAGATTTTCCTGTAATACTGTATGTATTTTCTTACCTTAACATTTTCTATTGCCTCCAAAATTCTCTCTCTCAAATTTGCAGAATCATTGATTTGATTTTTTAAATCTCTGATGACAATATCAAAGTGATTTCCCTTGAGCTGACCAAGTCTAAGGGCATTGCCCACAGATCGAATATTAAACACATTCATCCTTTTCTTTTCCATTTCCTTCTCCACACTTTTCAACCTAGAAGTGATAAATCACACAGGCTCAATTAAGTCTTTCAACTAAAAATTAACACAAGGTTTTAAATGATTTAAATGATAGTTGCCAGGCAGCCCCTCCGATCAAAAAAACAATATTTTTAATATTCCAGTCTTAATGTTATTGCAAATATTCACACTTAGATGATTATACTTATTTAAAGAGTTATTTTAAGAACTTGAATAATGTTGTGTGTGTGTGTGTGTAAAGTATACTTATAGGGTCATTATACTTATAGGGTTAATATAGGGTTATTATAGAATTATAGAGTTGTTTTGGGAACTTGAAAACATATATATTATATAATACACACACACACACACACACATACACACACACCAATGTAGGCCTTCTGGCTTATTAGTTCAAGTGATCCAGAAGTTCTGACCTATCTGTCATAATTCTGCTCCTTGCTGTCTCAGTCAAAAATTGAAAAAATAAAAGTATTGTTTTTAAAACCCACTGGCACCAGAGAATTTATTCTTATTCAATTTAATCTTATTCGATTTATTTTTCTTATTTTGGGGGGTAATGGGCCTCATGCTTGCTAGGCAGGTGCTCTACCACTTGAGACACACTCCAAATCCCTCACTCAAACTTTTAATTTTTCCCCAACATCTAAGAAGTGAATTTTTCCTTTAGAATGGTAAAAAATATGTTAAACAATTGACTTACCTAAAGGAAGGTTAAATGTGAGTACTTTACATTTATCAGGGGTATATTTTAAATCTAAGAGTCCACAAAAATAAAGGCATAAAAGCATCATAGCAATTAGGAAAAATAACTTACAATACACTTTCCAGAATATAAATGTGTATTAGAATATAGTATAGAGGTTTAGAAACAATTTGGAGAATTTAAAAATCCCCCACTTCTCATTTTCTATCCTAAAACCTCTTTTTTTTTGTCACTCATGGGGCTTGAACTCTGAGCCTGGGGTGCAATCCCTGAGCTCTTCAGCTCAAGGCAAGCACTCTAGCACTTGAGCCACAGCGCCACTTCTGGTTTTCTGGTGTTTAATTGGAGATAAGAGTCTCACGCACTTTCCTGTCCAAGCTGGCTTTGAATCTCCATTCTCTTAGCTCAGCGTCCTGAGTAGCTAGGATTACAGGCGTGAGCCACAGGCACTCGGCTCCTCACCTCTCTCTCTCTCTCTCTCTCTCTCTCTATATATATATATATATATATATATATTTATATATATATATATATATTTTTTTTTTTTTTTTT